CTGGCGCAGAGAAGCTGAACACCAGACACCTCTCTTCAGGGTTTAGGGTTTAGGGTTTAGGGTTTACGGTTTAGGGTTTAGAACTTGAACCCTCGTAGCCCCCGCCATGGCAGTGATCGTTTTGGGCGCCGCCTGCGCGCGCTGCACAGCCGGATGTTCAGGAACGGCAGGTTTAACCCGGCGTCCTCAACACCACTACGACGCTAAGTGGATCCTATTCCATCCCCCCACCCACATGCGAGAATGAGGTCCTTCAGCCAAGCCCTACTTGGCGCCATAGGCAGTCCAACCCTGAAAACGCGGTGAGGGTGGGCGGAGAAAAATAGGATCCCATAAATCAAATCATCCAAGCGGAGGCCGCCGTGGTCCCCAGCACCCCATTCGCCGCAAAAGACTCTCCAAAAGTCCAGGCAGATTCAAGGGAGCCTGAAAGGGAAGCCTATAAAGCCATAAACCCCAAACCCGAAACCCTAAGCCCTATCAACCCTAAACCCTAGACCCTGCAACCGTACCCTCAGCAGCCTAAGTACCCTCAGCACCCAAACCCTAAACCCTAAACCCTAAACCCTAAACCCTAAACCCTAAACCCTCTCAGAGCCGCAGGGCCGCCGCGGCGGCCCGCGGCCAGAGCCGCGGGCCACGCGGGAGCAGCGCCCAGAGGCCCGAGGAGGCGTCCCAAGCCTCGGGCTGCTCCAGGGCCTCGGCTCAAGCCCTCAACGGTTTAGGGTTTAGGGTTTAGGGTTTAGGGTTTAGGGTTTAGGGTTTTGGGTTTAGGGTTTAGGGCTTAGGGTTAAACCCTAAACCCAAAAACCCTAAACCCCAAGCCCTAGACCCTAAACCCTAAACCCAAACACATAACCCCTAAACCACTGAAGCCCTAAATCACCCCTGAGCCCTAAAAACCCTAAGCTTAAAGCCTAAACTAAATAAGTAGGGTCCAAAGGGGAGGGGGTTCCATGTGCTGGACTCCACCATGCAACGTCCGGCCTAAATCCTTAAACATTGGGAGGGGTTTGGGGTTTCGGGATTGAGGGTGTTGTGAAGGTTAGGTCTTGAGGTTTTTGGGAGGTCTGGGGAGTGAGAGGCATGGTAGCAAGACCTGGGCTAGATGTAGGGTATCTATAGCGAAAGCTGAAAAGCTGGCTACCTTGAACCCAGAGCCCGAAACTCGTACAAAAACTGGTTGCAGCCTTGCTTGAGGGGGACGTCGAGCCCTACATACAGCTGCTCGTTCATGCACCTGCAGGGGGCCTTGGGACTTCGGGTATAGGGCAGAGCCCATTGTTCTTGCTTTTTGAGGCTGGGATTTCAGTGAAGAAAATTCGAACACGGCTCATACCGCATTTGCGGGTTAGGGGGCCGGTCTCCAATCGGTCTCCGAGTCGCATCGGTGCCATTGCAACCCCCAAAGACGAAGATCTGGGCTTGGGGTTTGGGGTTTGGGGTTTAGGGTTTAGGGTTTAGGGTTTAGGGTTTAGGGTTTAGGGTTTATGGTGTTCACCAAGGTCACCCTCAAACTCCACCAACCCCGGGCCAGAGCCCTTGAAGCCTGGTTTAGGGCCCTAAGTAAGCCTGGCTGAAGCATGAACACCGAGCCCTAAACCCCTGAAGTTGCCGCTTCTCTCTTAAAGATGCCCATACCAGACAAACCATACCCCCCGCCCTCAAGCCCGAACCCTACAGATGCTGACCCGACACGGCTCCGAAAGCTGCATTCGGGTGTAGGGTTTAGGGTTTAGGGTTTAGGGTTTCGGGTTTAGGGTTTAGGGTTCAGGGATTCAGGGTTTAGGGTTCAGGGTTTGGGGTTTTGGACCTCAAGCCAAGGCTAAGGGGCTTTCTCCTTGGACACTCCTATCCACCCCGCCCCCTCAACCCCAAAACCCCAAGCCCTCTCCGCTCCTAAACCCTTAACTAAGCCCTCTTCGGGGTTGAGGGGGCTCAGGGTTCGGGCTCCGTAGGGTTTAGGGTTTAGGCTTTATAGGGTTTAGGCTTTATAGGGTTTAGGGTTTAGGGTTTAGGGGTTAGGGCGTCTCGCCGCGCAGCGGCAGTAAGTCCCATGTGTAAATGGCGCCCCTACACACCCAGGGGGTGTGGGGGGGGGGGGGGGGGGGGGGGGGGGGGCGGCATGTCACGCGAAGGTGTTTAATTTCAATGTAATCCAACAATTTCATTGGTGCTGGGTTCCTTTCTCCCACCCGCTGTGAGCTTTCACAGGCCACCACCCAAACCACTGCCTTTTAGGGTTTAGGGCTGTCGCCCTCAATTCCCACCACTGCTTTTTCATAAAGGCTTGGTGAAGGTAGCGGGGCGGAGCTAGCGTTCGGGATCTGTCGCTCGACGGAAGCGACCCCTCACCTAGCTTAGGGTTTAGGGTTTAGGGTTTAGGGTTTAGGGTTTAGGGTTTAGGGTTTCGGGTTTCGGGTTTAGGGTTTAGGGTTTAGGGTTTAGGGCTTAGGGCTTAGGGCTTAGGGTTTAGGGTTTAGGGTTTAGGGTTTGGGGCTAGGGTTTAGGGTTTAGGGTTTAGGGTTTAGGGTTTAGGGCAAGGGTTTAGGGTTTCAGGGTGTGGAGTTGGGCGATTGGGGTCGGCCTTCCCCGCCGCCGCCGCTGCACCGCAGTGGTGGCGAGGCTGCCTCGAAGCGATTTATGGGTCTGGGCTTTCGGTTCGGGTTTAGGGGTTAGGGTTTAGGGGTTAGGGTTTAGGGTTTAGGGTTTAGGGTTTAGGGTTCAGGGTTCAGGGTTCAGGGTTCAGAGTTTCGGGTTCAGGGTTTCGGGTTCAGGGTTTCGGGTTTCGGGTTTAGGGATATTTGTTGTGGGGCTTGATGCTTGCGGGAGTAAGAGCTGTTTTTTTAATGGTGTTGAGGTTTCCGCTTGTGGGTCTGAGGCCTCGGTGCTGACGAGTCGATTTTCTTAAAGTTTAGGGGTCATGGCTTTGGGGCCTAAGAGAATTTTCATGGTTTAAGATTTAGGGTTGGGACGTCACCGCTTATACTAACAGTCCTTAATAGGGATTATAGTACCCCCTATTATAGTCCCACTAAGGACTATTAGTTTTGAGGAGAACATCCCAAATTTTAGGGGTTTAAGGTTTTAGGCTTGCGCTTGTTTGCAGAGCTTTCGGTGGCGGGCTTCTGAAGCAGAATCGCTGGGCCTGCGCAAGATGTCGGACCCTGAAGCCCAACCCCTAACCCGAAAGCGCAGAGATGATCCAAGTTTAGGGCTTGCAGGTCCGCAAGTGCTGCGCCGTCAACGTTCCGCAAGCATCAGCTGACGTACGCAATCTCGGGCTACACTGGCTGCACCACCGATCTATGATCGGACTGGCGAACTCATGGGCCACTCATCGGTTGAGATGTCTTGGTTTGGAGCAGAAGGTCAAGCGCTCAGGGTCAGCACCTACTTTATAATCCCAGTTGCACCTACCCGAAACACCCGAAAATCCTCAACCCCAAAACTCCACTTCCAATGAACCCCCAAAGTAGGCTGCAGGCAGAGCCCGACACAGAGACTTGAGGCGGGAGGAAGGCAACCCGAAGATGGAGCTGCACAGGAACCTCTCGCACCCTAGCAGCCCAAGCTTAGAGGACTCTAGCCCTAAACCCTAAACCCTAAACCCTAAACCCTAAACGACCCCAAACCCTAAACCCGAAATGGTCCCTAACACCTAAACGGTTTACGCTTAGGAAACGCAGGGGTTCAGGATTATGGCCCAGTGGCAGGAGGGACTCGGTCAGCTCCCAGGCAGATGGCTGGTTGAGGTCCAGTCGTTCCTGGCTTCGGGTTTTGGGTTTTAGGGTTTGGGGTGTGGGTTTAGGGTTTGGGGTTTAGGGTTTTGGGGCTGTGGTTTAGGGTTTAGGGTTTGGGGTTTAGGGTCAAGGGCGCTATAGAGCTTAGGGCTTCGAAGCCGCAATCCTCAACTCCTTTCCAGCCCCGCTAAGGCCCAAGAGTCCCTAAACCCTAAACCCTAAACCCTAAGCCTTAAACCACAAGAGTCCACCGTGGAGAGCGTGAAGCTGCTGTAGAGCCCACCGATGGCGTAGAGGGCTTGGCCCGAGGGGCCTCTGGCACCAGGGTAGGGTTTAGGGTTTAGGGTTCAGGGTTTAGGGTTTAGGGTTTAGGGTTTAGGGTTTGGGGTTTAGGGCTTGGGGTTTAGGGTTTAGGGGTTAGGGTTTAGGTTTTAGGGTTTAGGGTTTCGCGTTTGGTGTTTAGAGCTTAAGGTAAAAGAAACAACCTGCTTGGAGGGTCATGAGTAGTTGTAAGCAGGGTTGAGGTTTTTCGGCTGAGGCCTGAGGGCCTAGGGGCTGTTTGGTGCGTGGACGGTACTTGGAGTTTTTGAGCAAGCAAGTAAGGTTCTAGGTAGGATAACTGGAGATAAAAAAACTGGTTAAGTTTGTGACCTGCCTGAGAACCTCCAAGCAGGCTCTGCAAAGTCATCAGAGAGCACATGACGCTCATGGGAGGCTTGTCCCAGAATTTCTAGGTCAGTGTAACCCTTAACCCTTCAACCTAACCCTAAACCCTAAACCCTAAACCCTAAACCCTGAAGAGGAAGATGCCTGGAGCCGCCACCAGCGCGAATGCGAAGCGCGGCTGTCTCAAGGACGGCAAGCTGCGCCACTGGCCCTTCTTGCCTGCACACTCCAGGCGGCCCCGCACACACCCCCAGAGCCCCCTAAGTACCCCTTTGAGGTTTAGGGTTTAGGTTTAGGACTTGGGGCGGAGGGTTTGGGGTTTGGGGTTTAGGGTTTAGGGTTTGGGATTTCGGGTTTGAGGTTTACGGTTTTGGGGTTCAGGGTTTGGGGTTTAGAAATCTGAAACTTGTTACCATGAGCGGCGGACACTGTTCAACAGCAAGTGTGGCAATCGTGGAACCAACGTCCCTGAACCCTAAGCCTACACCCCAAACAAACCCGACTCCGCCCCAAGCCCTAAACTCTAACGTTCAGCAGGTTTCGTAGATTTGGGTAGCTTTGGTAAGTTTGGTAGGTCTAAACCCTAACCCC